GTTTGGGGCAGATTTGGGGAGATTCAGGGAGGATTTAGGGAGGTTTGGGGGGGTTTTGGACAGGTTTAGTGGGGATTTGGGGCAATTTATGGGGGATTTGAGGAGGTTTAGGTGGGATTTGGGGAGGTTTAGGTGGGATTTGAGGAGGTTTAGGTGGGATTTGGGGAGGTTTAGGTGGGATTTGGGGAGTTTTAGGGGGGTTTTGGGGAGGTTTGGAGGGGATTTGGGGAAGTTTAAGGAGGCTTAGAGGGTATTTGGGGCAGTTTGGGGAGATTTAGAAGAAATTTGGGGAGGTTTGAGGAGAATTTGGGGGGAATTTAGGAATATTTTTAAGATCCCTGTATTGTTTTTGTGGATCCTTGCCATTTTTTGTGCTCCCTGCGTTGTTTTTTTGGGGTCTTTTTGTGTTTTTGGGGTGAGATCCCACCTTAAATTCTCTTTTTTTACCCCCAGGAACGAGCAGGAGTAAAAATGATCCTGATCCAAGACGGTTCCCAAAACACCAACGTGGACAAACCCCTGCGGATCATCGGCGAGCCCTACAAAGTGCAGGTGAGAAACCCCAAAAAAAACCCCCAAACTGAGCCCGAAATACCCCAAAATGTGAAGAATTCACCCCAAAAATCCTCGCCAAATTGCCAGCAAGCCTGTGAGATGGTGCTGGACATCCTGAGGGAGCGGGACCAGGGAGGATTCGGAGACCGCTCGGATTACGGCGCCCGCCTGGGCGGGGGGATCGACGTGAGTGGGAGCCCGGGACCACCCCGAAACTACCCTGGAATCACCCCGAAATCAGCCCAAAATCAGCCCAAAATTACCCTGGAATCACCCCAAAATTACCCCGGAATCACCCCGAAATCAGCCCAAAATTACCCTGGAATCACCCTGAAACTACCCTGGAATCACCCTGAAATCATCCCAAAATTACCCTGGAATCACCCCAAAATTACCCCGGAATCACCCTGAAATTACCCCGGAATCACCCCAAAATCACCCTGGAATCA